GAACTTCGGCGGAGAGTACCGAAAGCACTCTTCAACTTCGACAGAATATCCACAATAGAAGCATGATGACCAAGCTTCATCACAATAAGAGCTGCCTCACCCTTAAGTGACTGACGAATAGCCTGAAGGATAACAGAGTTGTCATGGGTCTTGGACTCCATTAGACAGTTCACCTCATACCGCCAAACATCATAGTCAGCATCCTTGCCGGCCGTTCCACTAAACACAGGAAGTTTAGGGAAGTGACGATAAGCAACCTTAGAACTAAGTGGCACCTGTTCTGGCTGAGAACCATCTAAAGCGGAAGCTTCTTCCTTCTTCACAACTGGACCACCCTGCGTGGCATACTGCTTCAACCAAGACTTAAAGTCATCGGGGTTATCGGCCTTAGGGTGCAAACCCATCTTAGCAAAACTATCAACAAGACTAGCATATTCTTCTTCAGAGAAATTCATCTTCAAAGGCACAAGACTCCAAGTAAAGAATAAACAAAATCAAACATGGATCCAAGGCTGGCAGTAATTATTTCACAGGCACAACACAATGACTTGGAAGTGCAGTAGATGGTGATTTGTGAATGTGTCAATAACTACAAAGACGATGTTTTAATCCCATACAAAAAGAAACATATACAGTGAGAGAACAACAATTGTATTTTCAGCGGCAAATAAACAAATTAAAGGACATCAGTTGGGTTTATATGGCAAATGCAAGTATTACACACATGGGTGATTAACAAGATTTGACCCTAGGATTAGATTATAACATGGTTTGCAGAGGCAGAATAATGAAATGTGTGGACTACAATAACTATGAAGACCACAGTGTGTCGGAACGCGTGACAATATGTACAAAACGGGTCGCGGCTCAAGGCAACGCCATCATGATGTAGACATTTCACGACAAACGCAAACGGAGCAAAAACATCGCAAACGCAAAATAATCACGAACGGCAAACGGGAATACCAATTCCCCCCCAAAAAGGAAACAACAAGACACGAAAGCAAAGGGTGATAATTACAAATGGACCCTACATAATGAATGAATAAAGACCACAAGCAAAGGGGAAGACAAAGAAAGTGTATGAGCTGGTTAGATATTTAAACTAAGTGTAATGCAGTGCAGTGCAGTGCAGTGCAGCGCAGCGCAGGTTGAATAATATACCCCTTAATAAGAGCTAATAATGATTAACTTAACTATGACATGTATAATCTAAGATTAAACTGAAGTTTAAATGCTAAGTTTATTTAAAACTAAAGTTTATTTGGCTAAGTTTATTGGTTTAAGTATATTCACACAATCATACTCACACGTCACACCTAAAAAAAATTGTAAATGATTAAAGATACTACAGTATGGAAATAAACGAGAACACCGGTGAAGCTTGTACAAGCGCAACTAAATGCTAACTAATTAAGCTGCAGCTATGTATAAACAAACGCAAATTGATATGGATACGTGTACGCCGAATGAAAATAAATGCAGTTGACACTACATCTTATTGAGGGTAAATAACCTGCAGGTATATATGTAAACAATAGCAATGCTACAAACCGTAAAGGCATTTGAAGAAACGACAAGGCGTTATGCCAGGCAAATATTTACAAGTTCATAATGAACAGAAAATTCAAAGATGAATGTTTACAGACATGTCAAATGTAAACAAAGACAAAGCAATATTGCAAAAAATGTAGAAACAGTACTTACAGTTCAAGAAGAACAATATAAATATATCCAATTAGATACGAGAAACAAAATAGTCCGGACAATGAGTCACAATTCACAATCACAATCACTGAACCAAGTCCAGCAAATTGTCAGCTTGACCTGCCTTGGAGTCTCTTGGTCAAGGTCGCTGTCAAAGATCAGTAAGTCCTAGGGTCACAAGACCCAACCACATGGACCTGACAATCACTCGCGAGATGGCCAAATAGACCATAATTACAGTTCGTTCATACACTTGCATTCCATGCGGGGATCCAAGCATCACATCACATAAGAATCCTCACTGGGGGCTCCAAACATGTAACCGGGTTTTCTTGGCTTTATCCATGATTTTATATAGATGACACCAAGACGGCTACGGGGTGTGAGGCTTATGTTTATTTAGTGAATAATCACGATAGTCACCCCTATGTGTGGCACAAGGGTGTAAAACGTGTTACCCTTGAAATGTCACCATTCATGATATGTCCTTTTGTGGTGATCTATGAATACTCCCAGTGCAGTGCATAGTGAAGGTGGCAATATGGAGTTAGTCAGAGCAAGAAGGTAAAGTTTGAATGTGGCCAATCACAGGATCGCTTGGGGTGTGATTGATCAGCAGAGGGTTGGACAAAGAATGTAGTTGAGCTTGGGTTGTGATTGATCACTGAGGCCTGGACTTAGAATGATGGGATAAAAACAAACACACACCTCTGTTGAATAAAGTTCAACAGAAACAAAACTTGAAATAGATTTATTTACAAAAAGACTAAAATACAAATATACACACCTGCTACACAAGTTCGCATTGGAACGTCACTCTCAGATATTTATATTTTTGAGAATGGAACACCTCAAGAAGTGTGATCAGCCCAACATTATTTAATGACATGATAAATGATTTGTTTGAGAATATTAATATCCTGGTTGAAACATCACAGTTTGCAGATGATGGAGCGTTGTTGAAAAGGTCCGGTAATTTTGACACTGTCTTCAAAAGCGTTCAACAATCTCTCTATCTTGTACAGAATTGGTGTGTACATTTGAGTTTTAAGATTTCAGGTTCTAAATCTTCTGCTGTCACTTTTACTCGGAAAAGGATTCCTCATAATTCAAAATAAGTCTTGTGTGGTTCTGAATTGGAGTTTGTCAATGAAGTCAAGTTTTAGGTCTCTGGTTTGATAAGAGGCTCACCTGGAAACCACATATGGACTATCTGATTCAGAAATGCTATAAAGTCCTGAACCTTATGAGAAGTATTTCCAGTACCGAATCAGGTGCAGACAGGAAATGTTTGTTAATGTTATATAGAGCCCTCATTAGATTTTGACTTGATTTCGGTTGTCAAGCCTATGGATCTGCATGTGCTACACAAAAAGCAAGACTTGACGTTGTTCAGTCGAAAGCCCTAAGATTATGTCTTGGAGTGTTCAGGAACACCTCTGTTTAGGCTTTACAAGTTGAATCAGTTGAAATGCCTTTAGATCTCAGGCATGAAATGTTAGACGTTAGATATATGTTAAAATTGAAATCTTTTGGGAGAAAACACTCAACGTCAACTGTGTTGAATGATTGTGTAGAATATTTTCATGACACTTGGAAAAATGGTATGGGGCCTTATGGGATCTCAGGGGCACGGGTGGCCCAGTCGTCTGAGGCGCCGCGATTCGCTGTGCAGAGTTGCGTCCCTTAGGCACGCCAGAAACCTATGATTGTGGGTTCTAATCCCGGTTCGCCCCGATTATGTTTCTATGTCTGTCAGCACCATACCCGTGCTCGTGGGTTTCACCGAAGTGGTAAACGTCTTAGACCTGCATCACTTCGGGCTTTCCTCCCACATTAAGCTGACACGCCGTGATATAACTGGAATAATGTTAAAAGCGGCGTTAAACCCAACTCACTCACTCACTATGGGATCTCAGAGAACTGCTTTCTATCATTCTGTGCGTGATGTTGCAATAGATGACACTACTGTTCTGCCTGTAAAGCCACCATGGCTGCTTGAACTACCATCAGTTTATCTTGATGTCCTGGAGCAGGTAAATAAATGTGAGCCAGCGCCCCGAGTTAAAGCTATAGCTGAGGAACATATACAAAGTCTACAGTGGTTGAATGCTATGCAGATTTACACTGATGGCCGTAAGTGCCCAGTGTCTGGTCGTGTTGGTTCTAGTATATTCATCGTTAACGAAAAGAGAGAACTGTCTATCCGATTGGCTGATCACTTATCAGTATTTTCTGCTGAAATAGGAGCAATCATTGAAGCATTGCGTTGGATTAATTTGGCTTGTTTCAGAGGTATTTTTCGGTGATTCTGTCAGTGCATTAAAAGGAATTCGGGTAGGTTCTTCCTCAGCTAGGCAGGACTTGATCAACATTATTCTCGTCCTTTATAATGACTTAAGTAAAGATCTGTTAGATGTTGAATTTTCATGGATCCCCGCTCATGTTGGATTACTCGGAAATGAGAAAATTGATAAATTGGCAAAAGCTGCACTAGAATTTGATGAATCCGAACAGGATGAACCAATTTTCCCTTCTTCTGCAGAGTTTGGCACCGTCAGTATGACCCATGCTAAAACAAAATGGCAGCAGAGATAGGCATCCTTAAAAGGACGTCATATCTTTGGCATCGATCCTTCTATCACTAAATTACACATATCTACACATAATCGGAGAGAGGAGGTTCTCTTAACCAGATTTCGTCTTGGGCATTGTGGTCTTGGAGCTTATCTAAATGTTATTAATAAAGACATTTCTGCACATTGTACAGTGTGTTATCAGCTTGATAATGTAGCTCATGTTTTAATGCATTGCCAAAAGTATGTTCATCAGCAATGGTGTATGCACTAACAGTTCTCAATATTGACTTCTCATTGTCTGGTATTTTATGTTCTGGGAATATTGTTCACCATGATGTTCAGAATGTCATTCTCGCTTATATTAAAGCGTGTGGCATTTTTTTATACTTTATAAAATATCCAGGTACTTAGCAAACCTTTATTAACGGCAAGGAGTAAATGGTCCTAGTTGCCCGAACACCTATAAAACATTTTACTTATCAATCAATCAATCGAAAAATGAGAGGAGATGAACAATTAGTATGAGTCAGGATAAGATAAATGATCTGATGATTTGGGAATGTCAGCCATGACATATCCTAAATTAGGCTGCTTTCTTTCATCTGATAAACACTTGCCTGTGGTTACATTCCTTGCTGACATTCTGGTTTGTACCCTGTTTTTGCTGGTATCACTTGGTATGTCCTTGTCCTCTACATGGTACATTCTTTTCAGGTGTCAAGACATACTTGATCATTGCATCCAGTACTAAACCTGCAGACCAGTTCAGCATTAGTAAAGATGATCAGGACAAGCTTCAGGACAAACAGACGAAACTTGTGATTGACGAAGGAAGACTTGTCAACAAAAATGAAAGCTATTATCATTCCAACCGTACTGAACTCTGGAAACTGGCTGAAGACATTTTTCAGAAGTACAAAAATGATCAGGTAAGTGTCGTTAATTATCCTTGTCATATCAGCTATCTCCAGTCTAATATATATCTACCATTCAGGTCCCCATGAAATCAACTTTCACAGAATCTATTTGAGCTGCAGTGAAACTAGGTAACATTCCACATAATACATGAAACACCGTGTAAGTAAAACAATCACAAAATAATATGTACCTTACTCACATCTAGTTGTCATAATTCAAATTAACAATCAGGAATTATGTGGGGATATTGTTTCAGTAAAACTTTGTCTCTGCAACCACTGCACAATTCATTCCTCGTTTGTCTTCATTGAGAAGCATCCAAAAGGTAATGGCATTGAAGGTCTAGGAACTGGGTATCAAACACTTTTTGTACACAATAACTTTTGAGTATTTCTGATTAAATAAAATTTAATATCCATGATGTCTAGGGTAGGGTCTCGATTGCATCATCTTTTGGGTGACCTCAGTATGAGGTCAAGGTTACCAGAGGCATTTTACACATCTCTAGAATTTTGTTTTTAAGTATCAAAAATCAAATGTCAGAGTACATTAGCTAAAGAATGTCAAGTGTCAAAATTATTCACTATTGTCAGTTCATGTGTTGAAACTTTACACCTAATTCTTGAAATGAAGTCAAAGTGTTGAAACCAAATCGCCCATTTTGGATTCCTCTGGCAAGGTTTTGAAGCTCATGGATGTATTTTGTTCTCAAAGTCATGTCGAGAAAGAGCTGTGTGAAGTCCGTGTGAGATTACCTATTGAGCCGCCATGACTCACACGCCTCATTTGATTCAGTGGAATTGCAGAGGACTCAGGAAAATGTTTAATGAGATACAATTGCTAATTCAGGACTTTACACCATCAGCACTGTGTCTCCAAGAGACTTATCTTAAGCACAGCGATGTATTTGATTTACGGAAATACAATTGCTATCATTCATTTTCACCTCCAGGTGAGAAAGCTACTGGATGTTCTACTATATTGATCAGGCAAGGCATCATCCACAGTACTGTTCCCCTCAATACCAATCTTCAAGCTGTAGCTGTCCGATTTACCTTGCACATTGCACTTACTTTGTGCACCTTATATATTCCTCCTTCGACTACTCTTCAGCAGGCTGATCTTCAGCATCTTTATGATTAGTTACCAAAGCCCTGTATCATCATGGGCGATCTAAATGGGCATAACCCTCTATGGGGAAGTCCAAATACAAACGGAAAGGGAAAAGTGCTCGAAGACTTTTTTTCGGACAACAATCTCTGCCTTTTTAATGACGATTCAAACACTTATTTACATCCTGCTACAGGAACATATTCAGCACTTGATCTCTCCATCACAGTTTCAGATCTTTACAACGAATTTGAATGGTCAGTTCATGATGACCTTTGTGGGAGTGACCATTTCCCTACCATCCTTAAAACTGTTAACCCTACTGATCGTCCACCAACAACACGGTGGAATTTTAATAAGGCTGAGTGATCTTTATATGAATTCCTATCCACTGAAAAATTAACACCTGACATTTTTCAACATGTTCAAGATCCGATACAGTTGTTTTTCGGACTTCTGAATGAAATTGCTGATGCAGCAATTCCAAAGTCCTCTGTAATTCTACATATTCGTAAACCATGGTTTAACAACGAATGCAAACAGGCACACAAATATAGGAAGAAAGCGGAAAAGTATTTCCGCCGCCATCCTACAGTCCATAAAGTAGATAAGGTCAAAATTACCAATGCCAAGGCACGACGTGCTTTCAAACAAAATAAGCGTCAGTCTTGGAGGAACTATGTCTCCAAAATAAATTCCCGCACGCCCATTTCCAAGGTGTGGAATATGGTGCAAAGAATAAAAGGCAAAGGTTCAAAATCATCTGTTCACCATCTTAAGGAATGTGACACGTTATTAACGGATAAAACTGATATTGCAAATAAACTTGGAGAAACGTTAGCGAAACATTCTTCAACATCTAATTATGTGCCGGAGTTTCAAAAATTTAAGACACAACAGGAAAAGATAAAAGTTAATTTCTCTTCTGGTAATGGTGAAGACTATAATGAAGTCTTCTCATTACATGAGCTACATACCGCCCTTGGGCAAGCTCATGACACAGCAACAGGAGCTGATAACATTCATTACCAGCTTTTAAAACATTTACCAGAATCTTGTCTTGAGACACTTTTAGACATATTTGATCAAATATGGACATCAGGGAATGTTCCTACTTCATGGCATAATGCCATTGTAGTCCCAATACCGAAGCCTGGCCGGGATCATACAGATCCCTCTAACTATCGTCCTATATCCTTAACAAGCTGCGTATGTAAAACCATGGAACGAATGGTTAATAATAGATTAATTTGGTATCTGGAAACCAATAATCTAATTACAAATATCCAATGTGGTTTCCGAAAAAATAGAAGTACTATTCACCATTTAGTACGATTAGAATCCTTTGTAAAAAATGCTATTATAAACAAACAACACGTAGTATCAATTTTCTTTGATCTTGAGAAAGCCTACGATACTACTTGGAAGCATGGCATTCAAAAGGATTACATGATTTTGGTTTGAGAGGCCGTTTGCCTTGTTTTATATCACAATTTTTAACAGACAGACAATTTCAAGTCCGAGTGGGTTCCACCCTGTCTGACCATTATAATCAGGATGAGGGTGTCCCACAAGGCAGTATCTTGTCTGTCACCTTGTTTAGTATTAAAATTAATAGTCTGTCCAAGGTTTTAAGTAATTCAGTGGATGGATCACTGTTCGTGGATGATTTTAATGCATCTTGTTGTGGTAAAAATATGCATACCATAGAGAGGCAGTTACAAATCTGTCTCAATAAAATTCACAAATGGTCTCTCAAAAACGGGTTCAAATTTTCTATGTCTAAAACTAACTGTATACACTTCTGCAGAAAATATAAGCCGCATAAAGACCCTGAATTATTTTTGAATGGCACCCCTATCAAAGTTGTTAAAGAGGCCAATTCTTGGGACTCATCTCTGATAGCCATTTAACTTTCTTACCACACATTAAATCTCTTAAAGCTAAATGCCTGAAAGCACTAGATTTGTTGAAAGTTGTTTCTAATTCAAAGTGGGGAGGGGATCAGACATCCCTCCTACACTTATACAGGTCACTGATCCGTTCCAAACTTGATTATGGCTCCATCGTCTATGGTGGAGCCTGTAAAAGTAATTTAAAAAAACTTAATACTATCCATCACCAAGGACTGAGGCTTTGCCTTGGAGCCTTTCGCACTTCTCCTATTCCAAGTCTATCTGTTGAGGCGGATGAGCCATCTCTAAAACAACGCCGTTTGAAACTTTCTTTACAATACATCACTAAATTATATTCCAATCAGTCCAATCCAGCCTTTAATTGGGTATTTAATCCTCTAGACGAAGATATTTACAATAAGAAAACATCTCTTGTTCCACCCCTAGGAATAAGAATTAAATCAGTCGTTTCTGCTGCGAACATTAACTTTCAGGATATAGCTCCCACAAAACTTTTTTCATCGCCTCCTTGGCAGATGGTAAGACCAACTGTAGACCTCACATTAACTAAACTTAAGAAATCTGATACAAATCCACTCATTTATAAACAAGAATACAATCAATTAAGAAACACTTATGACACATATAAATCTATATTTACAGATGGATCCAAGGATGGTGGCGCAGTTGCTAGTGCCACCATCATTGGATCCAGAACAGTATCTTCACGATTACCCGATCATAGTTCCATCTTCACAGCAGAAGCGCACGCAATTTTAACAGCACTAAAATATATCAAAAACAAATCCAAATATAAAGACTTCATTATTTTTTCAGATTCACTTTCGTGCCTTCAGGCTATTAAAAATATGTCATGTAAGCATCCATTTTTAATTGAAATTCTTGAGTTATTTAATGATCTTGCGACTGGCCAGTATGACATCGTTTTTTGTTGGTTACCCAGCCATGTTGGAATTGTTGGTAATACAATGGCTGATGCTGCTGCAAAAGCAGCTCTCAACAAATCTGTGACACCACCTCTGCTACAATACAGTGATTATAAACCTGTCATTAGATCTTACATCAAAGATCTAATGCAGAAGAAGTGGGACACCCAAGTGGGTATAAATAAATTACATGCAATAAAAGCGAATATCGGTTACACCTACTTGGGTTGTCAGTCCAGATTTGAAGAGGTCATTTTAAGACGATGTCGTATTGGCCATTCAAGGTACACTCATGAATATATTTTAAAAGGTGAAGATCCTCCATTTTGCATCCCTTGTGATGAAAGAATTACAGTCAAGCATGTCCTGCTTGACTGTGTTGATTTTTCCATCACAAGGGATAAGTATTTCAAAGTTTCATCGCTAAAGGATCTTTTTAATCACGTGAGTAGTCATTTAATTATTGGGTTTTTAAAAGAAATAGAATTATTACATAAATTTTGATGCTATGTTCTGTAAATAATACATATTTTAGTATTGGTAGCGGAAAAATTGTTAACTGAGATTGTTTGTGGCTTTACTCTTGATGGGGGTTGAAGTAGTGTAAAATGATTGTCCCCCTAAAAGGGTATGTCAGACCACGTCATTCAAAGTAATGTTTTTTCACCACAATTTTAATCGTAGAATCTATGTTCATTTATTCTGGCTACATTTGTCATTAATCGCCAACAGCGGAAGGGATGATGTAAATCCGGCTGGGGTCCATGCAGGTAGCAAAAGTACTGTAAGTCCCCATGGACCCTAGCATGGTGATCTACCTTCAGCTGCTGGCGATCTATAGCCCTTTTTTATATTGTACCGTAATTTATAGTGCTATCTTTTTTATAGTTGTATGCTAGTTTTAAATAATAAACTGTGATATTCTAGTAATGTCCATCGATGACATGGTTTAAATTTAGTTAAAAATGTATGTATTCAAATTTTCACATTTTTCGTCACGATATGGCTGAAATATTGCCGATGTGACGTAAAGCATTAACTGACTCACTCACTGTGTGA